TAGATGAAATCGACACCGTGCTGCTTTGCTGCTGAAATTAAGGCCACAAGTTGCTCTGGGGAGAAGAACAAAACAAGCTGATGAGGAAGTTAATATGAACAAGTTCAAGGGTTTGGATTAATGAGCACTAAACGGCTCCCAGCTCAGATGGTCCTCTAGGAGACTTTAGCTTGATGCTTCGTGAAGCAGTCACACAAAATGGCCATAATGGCACAAAATATCCTCTTTTCATTCACTTCCGCAACGACAGTAACGGTGGGGACAATTTCATTTGTCAACACAATACCTGGCATTCTATTGGTTGGGGAATTTTGACAGACTCCAGGAGCGCGAGGAGAAGACCTCAAGCATGAAATCTGTCTGAGCCACTAAAATATCTGAGCACGAGCGCCTGGTTTGAGCACAAGCAGGGGATATTTCAGTGCGCGTAAAAATCTGAACGCCAATTCAATATGTCTTGCTCTCAAAAACCAGGCTCTGGAATAAAGATGGGATATTATATTTATTAGAATATTATATTATTACACACATATTTCTCTGGATACTCCGGTGTCCTCCCGCAAACCAAAGACATGCAGATTGTGCTTATGTTAATTGGAGACTCTGCATTGACCTCAGTTCAGTCAGGATCAAATTTAATTTGATTTCAGTGATTACAACAGTTGCATTTGGCCGTTTGGCTGTGTTCTGGGATGACCCTGCCTTTCCATGTGCATGGGTCCAATATACATAAAAGATGGGTGATTGATTTGTTTTGATTTGCCCAAAGTTCGCTGATAGCGTCTGCACTTAAGAGTCATCAGAGACACGAGAGTTTTAATAGGTCAAACTTCAAGTCATCATCACTGCCCTTCAGTCTGTAACATTACTGATAACATCTAATCAACAGAGACAAACCAAGCTGAGCTATTAAAACATCTTCTTTGAGCAGATACTGATGACTCAGAATGAGACACGGATACAAAATGTGAACACTCCATGTGTCTTTAATTTGTTGTTTTGGTTCAATTTGCAACTGTGATTCAACACAAATCGTAAAAGAGGATCCTGATGTTCTTCAGACATGAATACTGCCTGAGCTCTGTGTGTTGTTGGCTGTTTTGACCTCAACCAAAGAGGACATGTTTCCACCCATCTGTTTGTTTGTTCGTTGGTTTGGTTGTTTCTTTTTTTGTAAGCAAGATTACAGAAAAAGAATGAAACTTTCAAAATTGTCTTGATTTCTCAGAAAAGAATTCAGGGATCTTGATAAAAAAAAAAAAATCAGATATATTCAGGGGACTGATATTTATGAGTGTGTGCAATTTTGTGCAGATCCAAATGAAAATCTAGCTCTAGTGAATTTAATTTTGGTTTCATAGAGAAACCTTTGGGCCTTGGCAGAGGTATGTCTCTAGTTTATTTTGGAGTTTTTTCTAAATATCAATTTGTTACATTTGTTTTGACCGGACGTGGATCCTGGCCAGAGTAGAATCCATAGTGTGTGGTTGGTACAAAGGATCCCGATATGATAATAAACTAATTACAAAGAATAAACTTTATTTTAAATAACTGAAGTTGACTGGATGGAAGAGTAAGGCGTCTTCAAGCATAAACAATTAGAAGAATGAAATATCTATATGTATAAAACACGTGTGATTTCAGTGTGAACAGTGTGGACATGTGAAGGAATAAACCCACCGGCCTCTTCCGCAGTGTACATGTCTCTCCAGTACATCCTGTGTTTGTAGTCGTCCTTGGGGGCGTACAGGTACGTGTTCAGACCCCACTTCTGCTCCCTGTGAAGCCCCACCACACAACAACACTGTGTCAGTTGTCATATGAATAGAAGAGATGAACATGGTGAGGAGTTTTCCACAGTTTTTAAAAGTGAAACTAAAACTAAGCTACTGGATTGGGAAGGATCTAATCACAGTGAGCAAAGGGTTCATTTAATCTTTTCTAAGCTTTGCTCATCCTGTCAACACAAATGAAACATGAAGACCAACAAATGACATCACATAGAATGATGCTAAAAAGCCACTTTCAGGCTCCGTCTGTTCTTACACACCTTTTAAAGAGCTCTGTTCTTTGCTCCATAGTCCACGGTCGCCCATAAAAACCTGATCAAGCAAAGGTCAAGTTATTCACCAAGGGATGTTGTGTTAGCAGTGATCAAGAGAGACAGCCAGGCTGCATTCACACCGGGTGGAGCAGGCAGCCTGGTGTGGCTGTTTACATGGCTGTAGCGGGGGGGGGGGGGGGGGGGGGGGGGGGGGGGGGGGTCAGGTGGATCCAGTTTGGGCCCCTGGTCCCGGGCTTGCTCACCTTCCACCACTCCGGAGATGAAGCGTCCCTCCTGGCTCCTGGCTCCGCTGGATGTCGCCATGGTTCACTGACAAGTGTCCTGCTGATGGCTCCGTGTCTGTCTGCAGAGGTTCCTGGTTGTGACACAGCGCCACTGACGCTCATGTCCTTTTATTTGAGTCCCTCTTATTGCGCCTGTCCTCACGCGCCTGCGCACAAGCGGCCGCAGCGCTGCGCATGTTGACTGGAGGTGCTCCGACTACCGGGTGAACGTCTTAAAGGGCCATTGTCCCTGTGGCTTAAAGGGATAGTTCACCCCAACATGGCAATTCACTCATCACCTCCTCCCCTCTGTGCCAGTGGAGGGGTGGGTGAAGTGTTGGGATCATATGAAGAGACAGAAACACTGAAGCCCCTAAAGGTTTGGAACAACCCACCTGCACATATTTATAATAGTATAGTAAATAATAGTGTGCAGAGGAGAACAGGTGGTCACACTAACTATGAATTACATTCAGATAATCAATTATAATATATTTGATAATAATAATCATATACGTATAATGAATTAAAAGGGGGCAAGGCTTAAGAGCAGTTAGTGCTCCATCTGTGTCTGTAAAGGATGCCTTCAGGTACTGTACTGACTGTAGGTCATCTGCACTTTGGCATCACTCTGAGCTCAGTGCGAGTTGAGGTGTGAATATATGGATGTGTATTTTTATGCAGTTTAAAATTAGTTTATAACATCAGACTTGTGTGAGCTGGATGAGTCAAAAGTAGAGCTGAGATGCCTCCTGTGTAGAGGCACTGAACAAGAAGCTGATCCCAGCAAAACCAAGGTGTGAAATCAACATTTCAAGTAATCATTTATTAGAAACGGTGTGAAATTGTTGTGCTTGGCCCGTCAATCACTTTGGGATCACCCAACAATGTTTTCAGTATTGACAGGGGAGCATCTCTTATGTTTAAATTTGAATCACAGATTGTGATTTTGAATGTAAACAATGCATAAAAAAATAACAGAAGAAATGATGTGCTAATATCAAAGCCACTGTGGCATTGATGTGGCATGACATCACAGTCTTCTAGAGAATACAAGCATATACAGTATAAGAGCCTGCAGCTCTTGACTTAAATCATTCTGAAGCTCTCAGTTAGTGACACACACTGAGAAGTTTGACAAACGACAGAGTCAAACAACAAGATTACTGCTGATTCAACCTCAGGAAGAAAGTTCTACCACCATGTCAAGATACAAGTGGACCTCTCAGAACAGAAAGGACAAAAGATCTTGGTGCAACAAGGATAAGAACCTGAGGCTTCAAAAAGAGCTCAGAAATCTGAAAGACCTGTTGGACATTGAGAAGGACAATGCTAAAAAAGAACAAGAGTGGAGAATCCAGGCCTGCAATGAACTGCTAAAGAGCCAACAACAGTTGGAAGAACAGAAATCCCTGAATGAACTGCTCATCAAAAGGGGAAAACGTACTAGAAGAGCCCTGCGAGAGCAGAGGATGATGCACAGGGACTCTAAAACCATCAGTTCCATGGAGGTGGCCACTGAGCAACAGGCTGAGATGGAGAGAAACAAGGTTCCCAAACAAGGAAGGAAGAGACAGAGATCTCCACAGGCTCTGACCCCCACAGTGAATCAGCACCGTGAGCGAGAGCATCAGAAAGTTTTGAACTTCAGGGCTGAGCAGGACACTCACCACCAGAGGTCAAGATTTGCTGCCAAGCAGGAAGCAAATGAGCTCTCAGACGGGTCTCGCAGACATAAGACTGCTAAGCGACAGAGGTCTGCAGATGAGGGTGAAACAAACCTCTCTGATGAAGAGGAATATGAGGATTCCTGCAGAGATAGAAGATACATCTGGAAGAATGCCAGAAAGTATTTGCGCTGAAGAAACCGGAGATGGACACCCAGCCAGAGAGACACTGCTCCCAACAAGAAACATGATGTCAATATTTGTACATGAAATAATCTATAATAAATCCTGAAAAGGAATTTCCTGCGTAAATTGCTTTACTTAATAACTGCTATACGTTTTTAAAGAGCCTGATGTCAAATGTTGCACCTTGTCTCTCATAGTCAGGCTCTGATATGGAGGTACAGTCATGACTGGGAACACATTTAAAGAGTACACCCATCCTGAGTGACTCAATCACAAGTGGTCCACATTATTTTCACTTTGTGAACACATATGCATCTTGGGAAATATATGAAGGGCCGCCCACTGAGCTGACGTCTCTGACCTGCTGGCTTCACTTTGAATCAAATGTTTTTTTTACTTCAGTGACCATACACTGATTTGTTTGTGGCCACAATGTCAACACTGATCATCACATAATGACCGATACTTTTCTTAAATTTGTCAAATCTTTCTTCTCAGCAGCTGCTGAAGAATTATTCAGCCCCTCCTGACCCGTCTCTCTGTTGCTCATGCCAAAACACAAACTTTGGCATCAAACAAATCTGTAAAACTCAGACTAAGTAAAAAATAGTATGTAGTAAAACTACATATAGCGGTGGGAAGTGACATCTGATCACAAGTCACAGGAGACACATTCAGGACTCATTTTAAAACCAGGTGTGAACTGACGAACTGTTCACCTGTGATTGGATCACTCAGGATAGATGTTAATACCAAAGTGTTGTAAAGAAAAGTTTACTTGTAGCTCATAAAGAAACAAACTTTATTATTTTTTATATATATATATATATATACACATAAAACTTTATCAGTATTATGGAATGCATGAAAAACTTGTTCCATTAATAACATGTTTTCAAGAGCATATTTACTGCACACATAAAACCAGCATGCATATTAAAGTCACAACATTAAAAAAACAGCACTAACATACAAAGGATTGCTACATAAGAAAGAGCTCTGAAAAGCTCTGAGGTTCTTGAAAAAAAACAAATGTTCTTTTTGTCGTCGGCTCATCCTGGGCCCGGTGCTCTGCTACCTCTTCAGTCCTCTCTGGGCCTGTTTCAGCAACGAATCAAAGTCCAGGTCCTCAAACCTGCTCTTGGCAGGAGACGGCTCTGCGTCTCTGTTCGCGTCTGAAGAAGAGAGGCACATTTACATCAATACCACTCAAAATGTTTAGGTTATGTTGACATTGTCACTGAAGTGTTCAGAGCATCTGTACATTCTGAGGTGCTATGCAGAACCCCAAACTGGAGAACCAGTTGTTGCTGCTGCTGCTGTGATGAATGAGCTGTTGTCCTGATTGACGATGCTACAGAGCGCTGGTCGCCAGTTTATTATCGGAGATTAATAATATTGAACGTAGCCAAATCGCACCAAATTCAACACTGCCCTTCCTCAGGCCCTTCCTCAGGCCCTTAACAACACACGTGCCAAGTGTGAAGCTGATGAGATGAACAGCAGAACAACAGACATAGGTTTCTAGAATTTTGTAGATGAATCATTTATTTGCTAAATCACATTGAGCTTATTAGTCAAGCACGTTGAAATGTGCCTCACAAATATTCACTGTTTGGTACCGTTTAATTACGTCCCTGTTGATGTGCACAGGCCTTACATGTTTACATAATTTTACATTCCCCACTGGTATTTGGGTCATTACTGATAAACACCAATCAGGGAGTGAATGTGGGTGACTGCATTCAAATGCATTCCGGACTATAATGTAGACTCTGACAGCAGTGTTTCCCAACAAACCTGTTTAGGCACACAAAGATAAAGATAAAGCCCCTGCAACACAGAGCCACTTCAACAGGATTCCTCTGGTGCTGCTCACTAATATCACTGTGATTGGGCAGGAATAGTTGTGCAAAGACATTAAATGATCTCAATTGTGTGGAAGAAGGGAAACTGTTTTATTCAGTGCAGTGATGTACTTGTCCTTGGTTGTCTCACCTAGATCAGAGTAGTTTGAATTACAGAACTGTCTCCTCCCACCGAAGCAGATGTCAAACGGCAGCTCATCAGGCTTCCGTAGTTTGCCGCCGTTCTCAATGGCTGCAAAAGCATCTTTCATGTTGTAAAACGTGACAAAGCCGTAGTGGTCGCTATGGGAAACAAAGGTGCATGATTTAAAAACTGATATAGTGATAAAATATAGAAAAATACACAAGTAACAGTTAGGACGATAGAGACGTGTTTTGAATTCTTCATATGTACCCTCTGTCTCTGAAGTGAAGCGTCACACACTCCACCTCTCCAAACTGAGAGAAGCGCTCTCTCAGTTCTTCATGTGTCATCGACCTGCGGATACGGCCGACATACACCACCCTGCGCTCGTCCTGTTTGAGAGTTTGAGAATCACTCACCATTCATTGCTTATCTATGATTAAAAGAACACAAAGTGTAATCTGTTACTCACTATGGCTTTAAGTTTCTGGATCCTGATCTCATGCTCCCTCCTCAGCTTCTTGGACTCTCTGCTAGAGTGATGACGGTGGGGGGGGGGACACAAAATCACATTGTGTGCATCCATAATTAAAACACAAAAAAAAGGCAGAAAACACCTACATATCCGACAGCAATGAAATTACAACATTAACTAACCTGTAAACATCTTTCCACTGCCTTTGGCAAATCTTTGGGGATGGTGATCGGGATCTGGACTGGGACCACGATCTAGATCTTGACCTGCTGCATCTCGATCTGGAGTAAGACAGCCTGTAGCGGCGAGGCGGTGAGTGAGAAATGGAGCGGCAGGGGGATGAAGAACATGAACTGCTCTCAGAACGCCTGTGATGGAGCCTGGAAAATGAGGATTGAGAATGATGCACACAGGACAAATAAGAGAGTAACAATGAGCGTGGTTAACAGACGATGATTACCTCTGTCTCTTTGGAGATCGAGATGCAGAGCTGGAGGAAGAAGACGAGGAGGAAGAGGAGCGACATGAGCTGGAGCTGGAGTCAGATATGGGTGATCTTCTCATATACCTCCTCTTGTCCCTTCCTCTGTCAGGAGGACTGGGTGGAGGTGTAGGGAGGGTGCATGGGGCCGCCTGCTTTTCACTTGCACCACCATCTGAAAACTGCAGACCTGTGCATGTGGATGGGTTTGTCTCTGACCTGTTGGTGCGTTGCTCAGAGTGATGCTGCGACGCAGGCTTTGTTTGTCCAGTCGAGGTCTGTGTTTTTGATTCAGCAGCAGCACCTGAGTGGAGAGGTGTCACCTGCAATTCCTGAGTTATTTGAGAAATATCCTGAAGTGAAGAGGGTCTAACTCTGTTTCGGTGAGCACCACTTGTTAATAAATGATCCACAGAGCCACAGTAATCGTGATCAGAGCATACAAATAAATACATGTGAGGGGGGGTGTGAGCAGCAGGGGCCTCTGAAGTGCTGATGTGAGTCTTCCTGGACCGTAGAGGACGGGGGTCTATGATCTGAATGGCCTTGGATGGAGGTTTTTTGCGTCTCGCAGGCTGCCCCTGCTGAGAGCTGAGGATGATTTCAGTGCCGAGGGGCTCGGGGATGTCCACGCGCTCTGACATCTGGAGTTGTGGCAGATTCCTGAGGGGTTTCAGAGTCCTGGAGGATTCAGAATTACTTAACGGTTCAAGTGCTTCCACAGAGGGGCTCGGGAGTAATCTGGATTCTGGTCCTACAGGCAGGTTTCTGACCGGCTGCATGCATCCATCTGTTGGCAGGTTTGAAAGTAGAGTGGTGCTGCTGAGATCGGGCTCATTCTCACAAACTCTCTCCTCTTTAGCTGGAGCAGGAAGAATTAAAAGAGATTAAACGATTATTTATCGGCATCTAAATAAACCAGTTGTCTGACCACTCACCTTGTGTTTCCTCGAACTGCTCCAGCAGACTGGTCACATCAGGGGCTTCAATCCCTGAAGTACAAGAACAGTAATATTCACTCAATACATCAACTTAAATCATAGCTTTAGCCCGGTTGTAACATGAGGTCCTCAGTAAAGATCCTCCTCACGTGGAATGGCATTTCTGATCTGACCATATATAAAAATGAATCTTGTTTTTATTCTTTTGTCATCTGTAACATTTTCATTTCTGTATCTGGCTCTATTGCTGTGTGATTATCAAATTGCTTTAACTGTTTCCTTTTGTTTGCCTTCCTTTTTTTATTTTCCCTTGTAAAAGAGATTGTAATTGTGTTTTGAAAGGTGCTATATAAATACACATTACTTTTATTATCTATTATTTATTGTATCATATTTGACGACCAGATGTCTTATGGTTTACCTGAGTCGGAAGCTGCATTCTGTGCTCTGCAGCCAACCTGAAGAGAGGATGGAGTTTCCTCTGGAGAAGAAGTACTCTGGGATATCTCTGGTACCTTCTTCTTTATCGGTGTGGGAACATCTATTTGAGATGGTGGCAGAGCAGAGGGTGGCGTGGAGGAAGGACACTTTATTAGCATCACTGTATCTGCACTTGGTGCCTGAGGAGTCTTTGGTTCCAGCACGGTTTGTTTAGTCGGACTCAGTCTGGGTGTTTGTGGCTGTGGTTTATGGCACTCTGAGGCAGGTTCAGTTTGTGTTGTAGCGGGACACAGTGATAACGGTGCAGAGGAGAGATCTGAAACGATCTGGGTAAAGTTGTGTTTAATTTCCTGAAGCCGTGCGGTGCCATCCTGGCTTACGAACAACACCCGGGGCTGTGGCTCTGAAGAGGATGGCTGTCTTTGAAGAGGTGTTGCTGAGGTTTTATTTTGGCTTTTGTGCAAGTGTGTGGTGCAGTCGAGGTCGGAGTTGGTGCTGTGGAACTCCACTTTGGACTCTGATGAGGAGGGGGCAGTGGATGGTGGAGCTGTTTGGCTGACCGGCAGGGGAACGAGGACAGGATTTGGGGGATCAATACTAATCAATGTTGGTTTCTTTGCTGGACTTCTTGTGCCTTCAGGCACTTTCCCATTTGGGTCAGTCGGGTTGTCCGGCAGTGGACTGGCAGGCGAGATGGTTTTGGCTTCAGGTCTTGGGCGCTTTAATCCTCTGTGATGTAGATGAGAGGATGGTTTTACCTCTGGGGGCCTCATCGACAGAGATGCATGATGGGATACAGTCTTTGGTCCACAGCTGCTTTGTCTTTGTCCATGTAAATTGAAGATGGGGGTCAACTCCTTGGGGGGCTCAGCAACAGAGGGCCACTTGGTTGTGTTGTTTGCCTGTTTCTCCACCAGGGGCTGTCTCTTCTGGCGAAGCTGTCTGTACTGTTGGAGACTCAGTGATTTGGCCTTTGTCTCACCTTTAGCTGGCAGATCGTTTGCCTTGTCACTGTTCATTTCTGTCTGAGGTTCAAGTGTCGACTCTGCTAAGTTTCCAAGTGCTTCACTGCTGTTTAGTGGAACTGACACAGTCTCACTTGTGTTCCCACTTGTTAGATTTGTCTCATTCAGTCTCTTTTCTACTGGTTCATTAAAAGAAACCACTTGAACGGGGCCGAAGCTCACTCTTTTCTTCTCTCTGGATGATGGTGCTCTCTGTGAGTTTCCATTCAGCAACACACTCCTTAGAGGTTTCCCATCTTTTTTCTCCTCTTTCCCCTTCATCTCTTTCACAGGTTCCTCATCGTCAGACACCACATTTATCTCTTCATCGTTCTCTTCTGTGGGCCTCTCGTACCTCCACACCTCCTCTTGGGAGAACAGCGTGTGGTCTTTCCTCTCTTTACTCCCCTCCTCCACGTAGAGCTTCAGACAGTAGGGGTGCATGAGCCTCACCAGGTTGACCAAAGAGGTGGAGGTGAAGACCTCGACTTCATTATCTGCCCTTGATTTGGACTTTAACAATATTGGACTTTGTTGTGTGAGCAGATGAATTTTGTTCTCATCTTCCTTGTTTCCATCCGTCTTTATAGAGAAGGTTACGTTTGGTGATGTGGGTTGCGCTGTGGGTCTGAGTGATATGACCTAAAGAGAAGGAGAGGTTTAGATGTTTAGTGTCTTGCTCTATTCAGCATATCCAATTAACTAAATAATACCGAGTTCACATATCCACAACATTCCAAGTCTATGGATCTCTGCGCAGTTCATACTACACAACTTGCTGACTTGTGATCAAGTAGGGCTAAGCCATATGACTTCAAATCATTATCACCATTATTTCAAACTTTGACCTCAATTATGATTAATGAACTATTAGTTTATTTATTAGACAGGTACGCCAGCTGATCATTTCATTCGGCCTGAGCCTATCAGGAAGAGGTTTTCAACAAACAACATAACCACTGTTTCAGAAACATATTGCCAACCTTAACTTTAATATTAATATTAACACACTTGAATTTGTGTCTATGTGTGACTCATACTGGAACTTAGCCTATTTCTGCAATTATTTATATACTTTGCATAAAGGCAATATGCATAAGTCAGTGGGCACCTCCCCACTACATAAACCTTTACATCCTTTATCCCGTCCTGCACTCTGATTGGCTGTAATAGCTGTGATGCATATTTTGCATCAGAGATGTGATGTTAGGCCTCTCGCATTGTCTCTCACACAGCGATTATTGACTCCTCTGATCGGGGGCTTTTGTTGGCGACTGGAAAATTGGGCTAAAAATCACGTGGTCATACACCATAGTAATCCTGACCAAATGTCTTTTACCAGACACATTAAAGATGGTGTTGAGTCCTCTCAGATGAATGCAGCTCATATTTATGAACCACTACATCAACAGATATGTCTTTTGATTTGTTGCTCCAGTGTATGTACTCACCACTGGGTTGTCCCTGCACCTCTGCTGGGAGAGGAGCTTAGTGTCAGGCAGAACATCGAAGGGAGATAGCGTCCCCTCGTCATCCCCCACACTGTCCAGCATCTCAGTTAGGGCCGACAGCAGGGACTCGCTCTCTTCCTCCACTCCACTCTTGTCCTGCAAAGACCCAGCAAAGTCCAAATGTACTGATTTATCTGATTCTACCATGAACTCTGACATGCGTTTTAGACGTCTCAACACTGATGATGTGCAGTCGTTCAGATTTAAAAGGTGTAACGCTGACCTCTGTTATGACTGTGGCGTCCTCAAAAATGGACAGGATGGAGTGATCAGCACAGGACTGTGAGTCCATGGCGTCGACATCACCTCTGCTCAGGAGCGACTGCAGAGACACAAACAGAAGAAACTACATCAAAACCCATGTGTACGATAAAAAATGTGCACGCACAATGATCCTGTCTATTTTTACCTCCTGCAGTTTTACAATGCACTCCTTCTTCTGGGTGGGAGCACACACTGAAGCACAGGACGCAATGAGCTTGAAAATTAACTTTCTCAGCATAAACAGGAAAAGCTCCCTGACAACGCTGCAAATTCAGCCATAAAAAACAGTGAGGCTGAGGTTTTACTTCATGTTTGAGACACTGCCGCTGAGATAAACTCATAAATTAGACCGTCAACAAATAGAATATCACCAAACAACTGTAATGGATCTAATCTTTTCTTTCCTTCATAAACTATTGAGTGTTTTTTTAATTCGTCATTTGGTAAATGGCCAAAAGGTAATAAATAATACAGATCAAAATCACTCACAGCCTACAGTGACATATCAACATGTCAAACTTTGTTATACTCACAGGGCCAAACTCCAATCTATTGCGTCTACTATCACTAAGGACTGGACACACATTGGACAAACTGGATTTTCTTTTTTAAATATCAATTTATTATCAGAACTGCTGCTGTTGAATTTTTCATCTATCTACTCCTCCTTTCATTACTAATACTCGGCTGCAGACCTACTTGGACATATATAAATATATCTGCAATACTCTAAAACCAGTGCATAATTAAAGTGATCTGGTAGTTTAATTAAAACTGTTTGTGTATTTTGTCATGTGCATTATATTGTTGAGGTTTGCGTGTTTTAAAAGCACATGACTATTGCAAAACAGCCTCTTCTATAACTATTGCATTGTGTGGTATTGACTCATACTGTGTACCTGCCACCAGGTAATGAACATGCTTGTTTTTACTTAAGATTACTACAGGACAGATTATCACAGAACTTAGTGGAAGGATGCAGTATGGGTGAGGGAAAAAAAAGATGGTGTGGATCAGGGGGAGGATGCAGGAAATGTTTTCACTTTTTTAACATTGTAAGAAAGGGCGTTGTCGAAATTTTGGGTTATTCATCAGAGAACAATTTGTGAATCTTGAGCAAAATCAAATCATATTTGGGGCTGACCTCTATATGTGCAATTTTGTGCCAATAAAAATGAAAATATGGATCTAGTGAATATACATGTGGTTCCATAAGGAACTGGAGATTTGTCCTCTACTGAGTTCCATTTGAGCTATCAATGAATGATTTCTTTCATCATTCATTTTGCATATTCAACCTAAGGTGATGTCATCAAGTGTCATTTAAAAAATATATATATATTAGTATGTATCTATTATTTATGTCATGTAGACAAAGCAGCAACAGTGTCACTCTAACTAAGAAAATGAATGATTTGATTGTCAGTGTAGTCGTTGATTCATTCTCTGATGGAAAAATCAATCAATTAACTAACTGCAACAGTTCTATTGTATTTAAATAGATAATACACTTTTTTAAGTCTGCAATGCAAGGCCTCATGTTCATTTCTAAGTAAAGTAAGAATAAAGTGATGTAAAGTTTATTAGCACAGAGATGTGCAGGAAAGAGAGGGGGGCTTCAACAGGCCTGAGATGTCACAACCTGATCACCATCTCTGCTTCAGACACAGTGGAGCTCAGAGGACCTGTCCCGTGACATCTACACGTTTTAAGTGACAGTGAATCGGTTCACCAGCGCGACTCAGATAGAGCTGGAGACATTAGAGGCAGGAGGGTAAAGGCAGAGTAGTACCGCAGTCAGTGGTCAGACTAATCAAGACAGAGGCGAGGCGGCAGCAGGAAGTGAACACTGTGTACTCCTGTTGCTAATGACCGCTTCCTGTCAGCTCTAACACGATCGCTCTTTATACTGCACGTGACGTCGGACGTGGACACAGACCCGATGATATGAACCCACTCATTATTACTGTGTTTCTGTCCTGACACCCTCCGAACCTCCTGATCACCGACCTCCGCTCTGCTAACCGCCCTGACTCAGCCACGTGTCGCCCGGCGCACATGTGGCCTTCGCCTGCGCCGGTGAAACACTTCCTGCCGCCCAAACCCGCCCACGTGCGGTGATCAGGACACCAAAGCAATAAAAGACAGTGACCCGGTACCTCGTGGTGAAAGCTGTGGGTCAGGAAGTCGCTGCCGTCGGCGTTTAATTCCGCTTCTTTCCCCATCCACCGCGCCGCCATCTTGCTGCACCACATGGCCCTCTGGCAGGCCGGACAGAGACACGTGGTCACCGGGTGGAAGCACGTGGGGGAGCGACACCGACCCAGGATCAGTGTGTAACCACCAGACCCACGATGGAAAGCGAGGAGAGGAATATAAATCTGATCCAAGGTCAGCTACGTCTACACGCTTTAATCTTTAAAACTACTTCTTTTGCTGCAAAGACACAGTGATCAACGAAGCAGCTGTTTGTGTTCTTATTATGTTTGATTTAATCTGATCAAGGAATCAGTTTTCATTTCATTTGAGATAACCAAATATAATAATTTTACCTTATTTTATTTTAACGTATTTATTCCACACACAGTAATACACATGGACATATGGAAATGTGAGCTAAGATGCCAGCTTGCACCTGGATTACTATACACAATATATAATACAGTGAATAAAACAATATCAGTATTAAAACATATGAGTGAAAAAAAAGAGAAATGAAAATAAAAAAGTGTTAACCGCAATAGAAGTTAAATGGAAGATATAAAACATTCAGGGAGTATGCCCAGTTTGCGAAGTTTTGGATCTGCACAATCCTAGAATATGGATTTATATATATTTGTTTTAATATTTTGCTCAGGGGTGACACCTAACGTCCACGTTTCTGAACTACAAGCTCACACAGAGCAGCCCAACAAAATATAGCATCACTGAGTAACAACAGTCGATAAAATAAAAGGTATATGAAACAACAGATGTAACTTATTTGTCTTGCAATGCTCATGTAACTGAACAGTTTTGTGCAATACAGATAAAAAACTCCCAAACCCAACCAAGAGGAAAATCTGCTCCCCCATCCACATACAGTAAACTGATCACAAATTAGGCAAATCAGACACATTTTAAAAAATAGATATAAAATGTATATGTAATTGTGATCTTCCCATACTATGAAATATTTAAAAAAATCCATGCAGAATTTTTTTTTTTTCCTTTTGTCTGCAGATTCTTTGTTAAAAGTGGAAAATTAATAGATAGAAAATTTAAATTCAAAAATTAAGTACTTGAAGATAAATTCTTCTTCTCCAAATTGATAAAGTAGAAGCAGTTTACACAGGCTCAAATGGCCTGCCATGTTTTTTCTGTTTATTAAAAATGCAGGGAAACGATGGTAATAACAGACAGATGCTCTGCTCGGGGTGTCTAACACATTATGATTTTAATGATTTGTATGAATCAGGTTTTTTCCCTTTATGGCAGGAGGCTTTAATAGAAACGGCACCAACAGTGTAACTGGGAGTTATCTTGAAATTGGAAGTTACGCTGTGTAAAGCTGTTAAATGCTCCCAGGTGCTACATTATCTCCCACTGCTGAGAGTCTGCATTGGTATCATGTGCAGAACAGTCAGTGGCATCCATGAAGTCAATCTCTAAAGTGTGTGTTGTATGTCCGAGCAGAGAGTGTTTCTGCTTCCTGTGGTCTGCCTCATCCCCAGATCAGACGGAGATTACCTGCATGTTCAGACATTGCAATATTGATGTGTTGACTTTCCTGATTAAAGTGTGGACTCGCCGCTTTGCTGTTGGGATCTAACAACGGCGCCAGACCCTTGGTGAGAAATGGGGCCCAGCGAGGCCCAGTTTGAAGTCGTCACATGAATTTAAATGTGCTCTGGCCTCAGAAGGCATTTGTACCGCGCACTAGATCATTATGATTGAACACATTCGAATGCGTTTATCGGTCGTGTTCACATGACTTACTGTATTGCAGAAACCCCTTGCGTGACTCTGCAATCACATGAATCAGATGCAGGGCTGATTCATAACAAATCATGTTTTTCTTCCACTTCCTCCTGTGCAGCTCCGCACCGTGTTACCTGATATATGGAGAATAATTATTCTATACACCTGAATAATAAATACGGATGTCTGAACCAGTGTTTGCGTCTCTCTCCAGCTGATGAAGACCCACAGCAGCACCAAACCTCATGATCCACGGAAAAATTATATGATGATCTTTGGATGGTTGATTACATTAACATATTCAGCACAGCAGCCAAGTGTTTTCCTCTCTTCCCCTGACTGTTGTAGCCATTAAACTACCCCGATTCCAATTGTGCAGTGATGCTGAAGTTGTTCTCCAAAGTAAATCATTTCTGCCGGAGTGTTTGTCTCTTACAGCTGAATCCGGTCAGACCAGTCTAACATGGCAGACACGCATCATACTATGCCAGTTTCTAGCCTCACCTTAAACAGAAGAGGCCAATCAGTAGCATTTTAAAGCTCTGACAATAGTAAAACTAAAATACAAAAATCACATTAAGAATAAGTGAAAATCTAATCTAAATCGTTTGTTAATGGTTTCTCCGGTCTCTCTGGAAACTGCTGACCTTGCTCAGCCTAAATATAACATATACTCCCAGCACCTCAAAAGCTCTGTAATTAACAAATTATAATGAACCTTTTAATGGACAATCATTAATTATTCCACTTTTTGTACTCATTATTCAAGGTACTCGTAGGTGGGCTTTGTTCATCTTTTTTCATTAGAACAGAGACAGACTTGCTGGTGTGAGCTGTCTTGTATAGAAATGTTTTGCTTTGTAGGTGCAGATCACAGTGTGTATTAGACCTGTCGTACTTCACACTTTCATTTTCATTTCTTTAACATGTACTAGCTGTTGACACATCACTGGCCTCCAATGTAGGAAGGTGCTTGGAAATCTAACACAAGAAACTCAGACAATTTTAGATGCAGACTGATGACATACTTTGAAATATTGAGATTTAAAATGCCTCCTGTATTCTAGTTTACTGTGGACAAGTGGAAATATTCTGTTCAGTAAACTGTGCAAATATATCTGCTGTTATTTATTCTTGCCACTAGATGGTGATATATCTATATCACCTAATTCATTCTATACACTTTTTTTAAGAAAGTTGTGAATGAGTTAATTCCCAGTGAGCTGATTGCTGCATGCAAGCCACCTATTCACAGCGGGGGCCAATCAGATATTCAACGTGAATGGAACAGATCTTAATTTGTTTAACGTTATCTCGTGTTATCTCATCTATCTATTTCTGCGGAAGACCGTAGATGTGTCTGACCTCTTATCTCTTGCATACCAGCCAGGAATTGACCTTTCTGCTGAATGTCATGGTGGCACACAGAGTCAATGGCGGTACTAGATTACTGGGGAGGGAAATATGTGCAGAGTCAACCAAGGCACCACAAGGCATCCATTTTATTTATTTTGATCCAAAGAGTCACCTGCTGTATACTTCCCATGTCTATCTTACCCACCATGCATCTACTTCATGTCATCAATTCTTTTTTGTGTTTTTTAATTACATATGTTCTCTACTGTTGCTACATCTACAATGTGTCTGTCCTTATCTCGCAAAATGACTTCACACTCAGCATCTGTATTGTACATTAGTTGAAGTACAACTGTGAGTGTAACGATTTGGACACTTTATATGTTCAAATGTATAAAGAATTTAATAAACATTCAATCAGCGGTCTGTGGCAATCAGTGGGAGTGAAGCATCCTGCTAACTGGAAGTCTGCATACAAAGTTGAACATGTATATTTCAAAAATGTCTTTGCAGACGAACCAGCTAGGAGGAACACAAAATTTTCTAACTCGACTCATGTCCAGCACACAAACAAAAAAAACTGATGGTACATTATAGAACTATTCAAGAAGGTCTCGCTAATGACGAGGAATAATTCTGAAGTAGCCTCCGAACATAAACACAGGCCAAGCAAACAGTCCTTTCCAAAGAGACATGAACAGGCACTGCTAGAGTCTATCTTAACACTTGCATACACACGCACCACCACCTCCCACCTCCTCCAACACCACTGAGGACATTACTGTATGAAATGGGGCCAAAGCGTCCTCCAGTCCGCGGCGGGTGAGGTGTGAGTGTCTTCAGGGGTGTGCAGAGGCATGTACTGTGTGTGTGTGGGGGGGGTCTGTGTAAGTGGGTCACCTTAATGCAACATCCAGCATCAAACCACCATGTCAGTACATGGCCCCACACGCACAAACAGACGCACACTTAACCCACTCTCTGTCCTTTTTCAGCTTGGGCCACTGTTTTTGGCAGGAAATGAAAAATTCACTCACTCACTCAATTTTAGTGTGCCAGACTTTACTCCCTTTCCTGGGACGAGGGAAAAGGAAGAAAAAACACTGTCTCTGTCCTGCTTTCCTTTCATGTCCCTCCCTCCTCCCGTCTGCCTCTCATCCCAGCCTCACTCTTGACCTGCAGGATGACTCCCGTGGTGCTCTTTTGGCATGTTTGAATTTTTAAAGAACCCATGAGGTCTTCGGGTACATGTTTCACTCTCTCTGCCTCCCTCACACTTGCTGCTCCTATTTGTGTTTGTATATGTGAGCATTTTTCTATATATCTTTGAGTCATCTTGGCTGCGTAGTGCATGTGTGTTTATGCACTTCTATGACCTTTCAGATATTGAACAATGATGGGAACATTATGTTACAAAAAAGCAATAGCACTCTGATCTTTAACCTGACACCATCTCTACAGAGGAATGCAGCGCACAGAGGAGTTATAGTTGTGTTGTGTTGCCGTCGTCCTTGTTTGATTTTTCTCGACTTCAAGTATGTCTTTCTTTTGCTTTCACAGCAGAGATGAGGAATGCCCTCCCACATGGTGCAGAGAACATCTGTTAGTGAGAAATGAAAGCCTGAGAGGAAAGAGAGAGGGGGGACTTAGTTTAATACTGGAAAAAAAAAAGAACAGAGGTGAAGGAACAAGAGAGCATGCAGAGAGAAGGGAAGAGGAGGCGAGAGGGTGACAAGACTTCAGGTGGAGGAGACCACCCTTCCTACAGAATGGCAGGGGTGAGGGAATATCCAGCGGAAGGTATAGTGACTTACAGGTGTACATGTTCACGAACACACACTCAGCGTGGTAACAGAAGCCTGCATCAATAATGCAGCTGAGAGAAACAGGATGCAGATTCTTCCTTACATAAGAGTTCACAGAGAGCTGGCTGGCTGAGAACAACCTCTTTCA